CTGCTTCTGCTTCTGCTTCTGCTTCTGCTTCTGCTTCTGCTGCTTCTTCTTCTTCTTCTTCTTCTTCTTCTTCTTCGTCTTCTTCTTCCTCTTCTTCTTCTTCTTCTTCTTCTTCTTCTGAAACCGGGCCATCTGCCACCGATTTCGCTTACCCCGCTTGTTGGTTGGCTACAATCAGCGAGCGCTTTTCAGTGGAGATGTCAGTGCTTTCCAATCATATGATCCTTCATTGTCGTCCATGCATATGCTCCTTCATTCTCCCACCAGGCCCCCATGTGAAAACTTCTTGGAAAATGTTGGAAAAGTCTTTGTCAACTTTAGACAACTTCAGAAAGCTCGCCAACATCGCCTCCTCTTCCAACTTCTGAGCCTTCATGGCCTGCAGCTCGGCCAAGCGAGCCTGACAGAAGGCCCTACCGGGTCCGCTTCACCTACCTGTTTTCGCTGGACAGAGGGGTGTATAGACATGCACTGTTTCCCGTAGGAGTAGAGAATAAACCACAGTTGGATGATGTGGACTCCGAGGGTGCTTGTGCTATCTAAGTCCAGTCTAATCCGTGTACCCTGCATGTGTGTGCCCTGCATGTCCCCTAGCCACTAAAGAGACATAGGATGAAAATGTACAGTGCCCGGGATCTCAGTTCTGAAACAAATGTGTTTGGGATTTTTGTGTTTTCTCGAAGAGGTGCAAAAGACCCTTGAGAAGCATTTTTGTGGCATCCCACAACCGCACAACGGCCACCCTTCCCCTCTCCCTTCTTTGTATCTTCAATTCAGGTTGAACAGAATCGGTCGGATTTCACTGCCGCTCAAAGCGAAACAACCATATGCAACTTTTTCGTGAGCATTACAACTTTGTTTCTGGGTGAATTGAATTGGATTACACGTTAGATATGCAAATTGCATGCAAGTCGTACAAAATATGGAAGAGCATCTATATATATATATATAGGCTTATGTCAGACCGTTTAAGTCCGGTGCCGGACAGGTTCCAAACCCCGCTCGCTGAACACGCCAAAAAACGACAAAACACGTCTGAAAATGGTGCGGCTTCGTTGAAGCTCTGCACCAAATATGCACAAAAAACGCAGGTGTTCGTCTCCACGAGAACCTCCAAACGGACGCCTTGCATTCGGCCACCTTGCTCGCCACGGATTGCCGCCTGGGTGGGTTGGAAAAAGGTTCGGCGCGGATGGGTTTTTAAGTATTTGGAGTCATCCCCATGGTGGTTGCAGGACTTTAAGCATATTGTGCTAGAAATTCAGTTCCAACTCCAAATCCTCTCTGCTGCACGCGCGGTGCGCCTGGGTGTGGCATGCGTCGCTTCGCTACCTGGTACCAGCCCATGTGGCAAACGATCATTGAGTCTCTTCATCCTGTGCATCTCTTAAACACGAAGATATCCTGTCCCCACCCAAAATGTAGACTCTTGATTCATAAAGAACACTTCCCTCCAATTGGATCAATCAAAACCTCTTCACCACCCCACTCGCGGCCTGTCCTGACGAAGTCCCCTGTTAGGACGGAGGTCCACGGCACTGCTGACACGCATGGTCAGACAGCGCATGTTGTACAGTGTGAGACAGAACCAAAAGCGACCTACAAACACACAAATCATCAAGGAATCAAGGGGAGATAAGAGGAATCTCCCACGAGGAAATATTCTTCGAACATCCACTGTCCATCATGAGGGCTAACCCAGAAAGTTCAGCATCACTGAAAAAGGGAACAGCGCCCAAAATCGCACCTTGTGGAAAGGTGCGCCCTTCCGACTTATGAGTCTGCAAGCACGTACGGCCAGGAAAGATCGTCTGTGCTTCGAGCTTTCCAATATAAACGAACATACGCCGCAGCCAAAAAGCGAGATCACGATAAGTGATGTTGTCCCCTGTACAAGCCTCAAGTGTAAAACCACGTTTGTGGAAAAGAAAGGCCAATTCCATGTAAGATGTACAGAAAAGAGCTCCGACACGCCATGCCAGAGACCTAGTGAAGTCTGAAAAAACACGAAGATCTTGGTCAGAATGCTTCCGAAACCACGGCGAGGAAAAATCAACACCGGGAGTAGCCTTCCAAGAAAAATCAACAATATTTTGATTCCAGCACCACCGCGGAAACTTCTTCCGCAACAAAGCACCTTCATCAATAATCGGGATATCTCCGCCCGAAGTCTCGGCCACATGAGGTTCAGGTGTAGCAAAATGATTCAACTGGGCCAAAAACTCATGGCGAGCATAAACAGAATGCTGCAGATTCTTAAAAGTCACAATCTCAACTGGAAGAAATTGTTGCGCAATCTTCTTGGCCTCCCTATCTGCAATTCGGTTGAGCAAAATGTGCTGCACTGTGGTGTGGTGCGCAGCTGCAAACGCGGGTGTAATACAAGAATCTGGCATCCCTTCACCGATATGGGCTGGAATCCAATGGAGTCGGATGGGTTCACCAACTACATGTGCCCGTTGGATATAAACAGCCCAAATAGCCTTCCACAACACTTGCAGGCTCCATGACGGGTCAACATAACCAGCTGAAAGTAGTTGACCAAACTGTCGCACAATCGTTTGGCAGTCAGTAAAAATGTCAATACACGATGTGGAAAGAAAAACCAACCGATATATAGCAAAGAGCTCAGCGGTGTAAGAGGACAAGGAAGGAAAACAGACTCTCTCAGCAAGAATACATTGTCCATGCTCGTTGACAATGCTGCATCCTGCGGTTGTGAGCCAAAATGACTCTGTCAGAAAAACTGATCCATCCGTCCAAAAGGGGGTTCGCCGCAGTGAAGGGTCAAGAATACCGGGAACATCATTGGCAAGAGTAGTGAACTGTAATCGATGCTTACAAATGCCGACTGGATGTTCACACAAGCCTAACATGGGGAAATTGTCCCCCAGTTCGTGCTGCGGGGGCTGAGGCATCGGAAGGGCACTACATTCAAAAATCCAATGAGGCATTGACTCCGGTGACAATTTACAGAACCTACACAAGTTGCTCTCTACTAAATTGGCGGCAGCAAGCCTATCATTCGTCAAGGTGCAACCTACCAGCTGGGATTCATAATAAGGCAGCAGGTTGAGGTCGTTTGGAAGCTGCTTGTACATTCTGTAAAAGGTTTTAGACAGAAAGGGGTCCAAAAAGCCCTTAGGGCGAATCAAGTCCTTTCGTTTCTGGTCAGCGGATCTTTCATAACAGTATTGTACTGCAAGAGACTGCAAAAGGCGACGGATGTCACGCACACCAACCTCAAGGATGGGAATGACAACGTCGAAGAAAAGTAAATCAAGATTAGGTGAGAGGGCGAGATGGAACAAGGCCAAGGCTTGTTGGACCTGCTGCAGTAAGCTATGCTTGGGCAGACTAGCGGACGCTAGAATGTGTTTACACTGAGCAAGCCGAGAAGGCTGTGAATGAATGCAGCGCCAAAAACTCAAAATACATGTGTAAGCACGAGCACATACGGGTTCAACCCTGTGCGGAACGGACAACAAGGCAAAAACAAGCATTTTGGATCTCCAATGAGGACGGTTTCCCCAATAGACACAAGCAATCTCATTTTGGATACGGTCAAAGGACCTCTTTGGAATCTTGGAGATTTGGGTAGCAAAGGTAATCTGTGGCAAAACCTTTGCACCCAAAAGGTCCGTTTTTACCTTGCGAGAAACAGGTAAATTGGCAATGTTCTTAATGTCAGTGATGATCTTACTGCATTTGGCAGGGTCAAAAAGATAAGCATTACGGTCCGCAGTATAAATTTTCGCTCCCAACACATCAAATTCAAGAGACAAAGGGAGTTGGGGAAACGCTGCCTTGGCAGATGAACGTGCTTCAGATGAAGTCGCCCACAACACACTCTTTTGAGGGTTCAAGTGTTGACCGACAAGTTGGCCCCACAATTCAGTGGCCTGGAACGCCTGCTGCAACAAATGGATGTTATGTATGGTAACCCACATGTATGCATCATCAATGAAAACGCGGCACACAAGAGAAGGAAAACGGTCGATGAAGCACGCCCAAACATGCATGTGTACATTTATTGCAATGAGCGATAAAGAACAGCCTTGCGCAACTCCGTTGGCATTGGTAACAGGAGTTTTTGCAATCCAATTACGGTATGACAAATGCTTCTTAAGGCCATTATACATCATAGTGAACATGTTCACAAGGCCTTTTGGAAGGCCCAAAGCGAGCATTAGAGCAGCAGTGATGGACGGGACAATGCGATCGAAGCATTTGGACTGATCTAATTTAATTCCAACAAGGTGCACTCCATCCACCTTCGCAGAATCGATGTCCAGCCTGATGCCATCGCTGACTGCAGCCATCGATCGTCCCTTGATGCCCCCGAACAACGATGGATGAAGTACGTTCCGCTGCCATGTTTGCAGCTGCCGGAATCGCGTGCCTGAGTATGCGAGTAGCAGTGGGGAAAGCACCGTTATTAACCTCTTGTTCAGGGGGATGCAGGGCCTGGCTTATGAAGCAGGGCTTGCTTGGCACATAGCAAGACTTCTGGAATAGAACCACCGAACTGAGATTCGAGTGAAGTGAAAAAATCAGCAATAATCTCAAGGCACTGGAAAGGAAGATGCTGAAGATCGGTCGTTCGCCATCCATCCATTCCCGGTGCAGCAAGTGGATTCCGGGATGCAATTGTCATGGCTAAGTCTTCGGCCCGAAGAGCAGGAAGCTCACACGGCTGTGCAGTATGCTGGATGTAAGGCCAAACCGTACTAAGAACTCTAAGAGGGTCCTCGTGCAGTGCATTAGATGCAAAAATGGAGTCCCACTGTGAATTAACATGTTGTAAGGCGTCATTTGGCTGGTAGAGGATATTACCTGCAGTGTCAAGTACAAGATTATTTGGCTCATCAACAGACTTGGTCTTAAGATGATGGAATATAAACTTCTTTGAAGTATGAGCGGAAGCTTGAATCTTGGACCGCCAAGAATTAATACGCTGTTGCTTTTTGGAAAAATCCCACACAGAAAGCTGAGACTGAATCCATTTCATGTTCGAATGGATGTCAACTAACGAAGGGATAGCCTGTCGGACCCACACATGAGGTGACTTAAGGGCTACAAGATTGGACCAGGCCTTCGCAGCAGTTCTCTGCAAAATGTGCACATCAGGAAGGCTTGAGGCTGGACGTTGCACGCGAATGGATAGTTCTTCCAATCGGCTGAGTGCATTCTGAAGCCAAGAGGCTTTGAGAGTAAGTGCCCCTAAAGTCTTGGCTTGACCAGGACAAAACTGCTTAGGGGAGAATCGTGGAAGCTTGCCACGAAGCCTAGGACCATGACCCCATGTGGCACCGTTCTGAAGTAAAGTCTCACAGCAAAATTCATTGATAATGTCCCATCTGTTCGAGGGGTTCAAATCGGAAAGATACTGCGTGCGGAAGGTTGAGTTCCACAACGACTCAGCTTGCAAATTGCTAGGATGATCACGAGCGAGCCCTGGTTTGTCAAGGTGTTCAACCATCAAAGGGGCGAACTTTTGATGTACAAAACCATGTTGCCAAATGGTGGCCCAACAAAACGTTGCTTTGATAGGGCGGTGTTGTGAGTCAGTTGATTCAATCGTACGAATGGACTGAAGGGCACAACTAGCCACCTGATTAACTAAAATACCGTCAATCGACGAACAGAAATCGCCGTGGCCAGAGAAAGTGCTGTCTTTGGAATAAGTCAATGGCCGGAAAGATTCCCCATCAACATCAACTGTGGTTAAAGGGTCAAACCAATTATGGAAGTTGACAGCATTAGAAATGCTTGGGTAATGGAGTGGGGGAGACTGAAAATCTCCGGCAAGAAGAATGGGTATCTGGCCGAACTGTGCACAAATAGTAAAAATGTCAGCGAAAAGAGAATCATTGTACTCAAAAATTTGGGGATTGGATGACGCTGAAGTTTTAGCGTAAATCGAAAACACGAGTGCCTTGAGGTGAGGTGTGACTTGAATCCAACATGCATTGGCACGATGAGCATCATAAAGCTTCGAGTAAAGACCAGTGTGATCGGTCGACGGGTCAAAAGGAAAAGAAAGTTCAGGAGGGGCCAAACTGGCAGTTCCTCCGTGCATGACAGAATGCTGACCATCAGACCGAATGAACCCCTTGAGTGGAGCAGAGCAAAAAAGTGCTTTACCAATTTCCTTGGCCATCTTCTTGGAATGCAAAAGATTATTACAACCAATGCGTGTTTCCTGTAGGCATTGGACCGAAGAAGAATCATGTTTCCACTGACAATTAGTTTTGAAACTCCCAATATTCGCAGTGGAGACAGTCCACTCAGAAGGCATTGGTCCTTCCCCAGGAAAACCACAGGTAGAATCAAATTCACGAATGAAAAGTCCTCGGTAGAGGAGAAAGAAGAGGCATGGGACAACGGTGCAAGAATGACAATGGATGTTCGAAAAAGCAAAAGGAAGAAGACAAGGTCCTGGACGAAAGCAGCATCTTTTCCCCACGATGTTGCAATGGCTCAGGAACGGCCAGCTCTTGGTTCTATCACAGTCAAAATGACAACCTCGTGCGGGCTGTCTTGTGAAGTCGCAATAGACAAAAGTTCGGTCTATGATCTCGGAGCCAAGGTTGCAAAACCACGAATGACCGATTATGCAAAGCGCACCAACAAAACCAAGAATCAAAACAAAAGGATGAAAGCTGAAGCAAAAGCTTGGCTCAAGACAGGGAGACCTGGAGGTTAACCGGACGATGTGCCAAATGTGATTGCATGTCGTCTCACTATGGCAAACACCGATCCTGTGCTCACTGGCGGAGCACAACCCACGAAGATGCATTGAATGCAATGCGGAGAAACCCGGCACAAGCCTCCTATACACATGAATCAAACAAAGAAGCAAATAACAAAGACACAAAAAGTTCTCAATCATAGAGGCATGAGCAGATCGAGAACCGGAGGCTTGCGCCCCACACCTTCAGCCCTGTTTGGGCAGCTTCGGCGGCGGTGTTTCGCCAGAAGCTTCGCGTGCACGTGCCGGTCCAACAGTGTGCAGGATTTGGCGGAGCGAGTCCGAAATATGTTCGAACCGTCCATCCACCTTCTCTTCAAATCGGGACTGGCGTTCTTCAATCCGATCGAAACGTTGCTCTAACTTGGTAATTCTTGCAGTGTCTTGAGAGGTTGCAGATGGGGCCGGCGAAAACTGCGGCGGAGCGAAAGGCTGCTTCGATGCGGTCTGTGCAGCCTGCTTGGACTGCTTGGTTTTCCCAGAACCCTTGCCCCCTTGGCGGGGTTTGAACTGCTCAATCACCTCTTGCAGGAGGATTTCATGCGGTGTACCGTTCACCTCGATGTGAAAGCGATCTATCGACGGCTTGGAAGCGAAAGCTAACACCCATGTCACAACTCCAGCAATGCGAAACGTCCGCATTGGGATGGGCGGCACCTTAGTGGCTTGAACAGTGGCTTCAACCACATTGGCAGCGGTGGTGCCAATGGGCCACCCTGAGGCCTCAAAGGTGTGCTTGGGCACGACATCCTTGTTTTCCTTTGTGATTCTCGGATCTCCAGCTAACAAGGTTGTTCGAGCCGCACCAATCTTGTCCGACCACACACGAAGGGCGAGTCCACGCTTGGTGATGATGATCCCTGCAGCACCTTCAGTGTCTTTGGTCTCGATCATCATGTGCTGCAGCTCTGACTGAGTGGGAAGCCAAAACTTCGGAAGCACAGAAGTGTCAAGGCTTCCCTGCCCTCGCTCGAGATAGTCGCGGATGAACAAAGTGTGGCGACCGCTAGATTCCAGCAAAGGCTTACGCGAAGCCTGAGGGATCTTCACAATGCACTGCAGCTGAATATCATCTTTCCCTGAAGCAGGGTGATGGTTCAACCTGAAGCCATAGTAAATGAAGTCCGAAACATTGTCAACAATGGCTCCAACCAACTTTCGAAAGGTGGGAATTGGCTGGTCCTTGTATTTGTCAAAATCACCCTTGCTGACGAAGCGGTTGTCTATTTCCAACACAAGCTCTGCCACTTGGACGGTGGTAAACTTCAAGGTCGGCTTGGGGAGTTGGTAGGCGATCTTCCCCTTGACAATGATGAGGAGGACAAGCCTCTTGTAGGATGACTTTGAGGTTTCATCTTTCAACACGACTTCATGTGGACCTTCAAGCCGAGAAGCGATAGCTCCGAAGGAGCTTGGCTCGGCTGCTGGAAGCACTAATCAAAACCTCTTCACATGGGGGGTGGGTCAAAATAAACTACAGTGGCACAGACCTCAAAATGTCCTTTAGATGGGGGTTCATACAAATCACCGTTACTTGTGGGCCCCTGTGTCATCTAATCAACAGCCAGGCCCTTCGGTGACGGACGCGTGACCGGTCGGCCTGGCGTCTCCTCCGAGACCTGAGCGACCAGTCTGGAGCGTCCGGTCTGGAAGGCGGTCGGACCGGGTGGGCGCTGAAAACGGACACGAGACACGAACAAAGAAGGGATATGGGAAAAGAAGGAAGGGGATGGAAAATCGTCAGCAAAGATCGGGAAACCAGTGGGTTTGGGCATTCCCGGTGTCTTGTGTCTTGGAGGCACCGCTCTGAAGAGAAAAGCCCGCTCAAAAGAGAGGGGCAGCAGTCTCTTTTTGCGGAGAGCGCGGCCTGAAAAAGGGAGACTTGAGACTCCCTGATGGATCGGTGGGAAGAAAGACCATGTTCAAACCCTGCGGTTGGATCAGGTCTTCTTCAAACCCATCTGGCTGTGGATCAGAAAATCGCTGACCAAACTCCAGGAAAAGAATTGCGTTCACAATGTCGATGGGCTCCTTTGATCAGGTGGTCTGACACCCCGTGTCGAATACGTGTGCTAACAGGACAAAAAAAGCATCCGTTGCCTCTCAGGGTTTTTCTCCAATGACAAAGGCAAATGATGTTCAAACCTGTGGAACCCTACACTTGACCCATGTGCCAATCCTTTCGGCCCCTTTTTTGAGACCGAAGTCCTGCACCTTCGAGAACAACGGAACCGGATCGCCTCCGGTCGAAACCGGTCTGTTGCCTTGTGGGAAGACACCCGGACCCTGATTCCGAGACCCACATGTGCCACATGGAACCTGAAAACTGCGTCGGGTTGTCGACAGAAAATCGTCTTGCAGGGGTCGGTCCATTTCCAGCATTTCATCTGGAATCTGTCCACAAACACCTCGTGCTACATGATGTGAATCTTGACGACTCCCATATCAGGCACTGTGCTGCTCCACCGGCAGCTTCGCAGTTGGGCACTCTTTGGGGCGCCCCAGCCACTGGTAAGCTTGCAGAGACGCGTGGGCCCTCGAGAGGCGAATGAAAAGAAAGGCTGGTGGGGTGTCACGAACTCGGTGTAGATAAGCCTCCTCCTCCACTGGATAGAAGATGATAGAAGGGACAGCGCCAGGGGATGAATACCGAAAGGACCCACAGCGGGTTCCAGGTCGACCCACATCGAAACCTGATGGAATGGACCAAACTGGAAGACTAATTTGTGTCCTCATACCAACCCCTAGCGGTGTTCAGTTTCGCATACTGGGTCAACCCATCCAGGGGGTACATGGTTTGAAACGGATTGACCGAGCGTCCATCGCGGGTTGATCCGCTTCGATCCGCGGTTCGCATCGCCTTCGGCGCGGCTCCGATGCCATCCTGCGGCACCTGCCACAAGTTTCGAGACTGTGACCTGACTTAATCTGAAGGTTCTGCAGTAGTAAGACCTGACTTAATCTGTGACCTGACTGAATCCTGAATAGGGAGACCACCCCCCTCAGGTCGGCTTGGAACACCAGTCTACCCAGCCAGGGGTAGACTGGGGGGTCTCCCGGATCTAGAATACACATCCAAAATGGGGCTACAAGCAGAAACGATCTGTTTAAGTTCTGCAGCATGGAACATAGAACCCTGCTGGTGGCCCGTCTCTATGGTCGCGGCACACGTGTACTGTTTGGGGAAGCATCCACTCACACTTCACATCTTAGGTGCCCTGACCATGCAGCAGGTGGAAGGTAAGGCTCGGCATGTGTCATCCAAAACGCGCAGAAACCAGAAACCAGAAACTGCAGACCCGGGCATCAGATGCATCAGATGCATATATATATATATGTGGCGTGCCGGGCAAAATGAGGCGTACCATGATGGAAGCGGGCGCTCTTCTGTTACTATCATGCTTGGGCACCCGAGCCTCAGGTGGATCTGCACATGGAGCTTCCTGGACCCGGACAACCCTCCGTCCGAAGCGGTCTTGGCCGTTTGAGTGGGCACATTCCGCCCCCCCATGGGGACACGCATTTGTAACAAGGAGAAAAGGAATCTACCAGCAGTTTCGTGAAAAGCATCCTATAGTTAGGACCCCAATATGTCTGAAATGTATGTATATATTTACAACATGGAAAAGAAAACATCTTGCAGATATGCCAAAAGCCGGGCATTTTGTTGATTGATGTCTCTTTTGGGGTTCATGCATTTTGGTGTGTTCCCTCAATGAATTGGGCCCTGTGGCTTGTTGTAGTTGTTTGCACCATTCTCATCTCTGATATGGAGGCGTAAGCCGGTTTGCCTCCACCTCTTGCCTTTCTTTTCTTTGCCAGCTGCAAAGGATGCAGCCAATGCATATACTGCCACTTTAGGTTCCAAGCACTCCATCGTGATAAGTTCAGTTATGCCGGTCGAGTCCAAATCCTGTGGGTGGGGTGGGTGGGACTAGGTCCAAATGCTGTGTAGGTGTTGAGATTGTGCACCTGCTGAGCTTTGAGTGTCTTCTCTCACACACACGCATACGCTACATACGGTTGAAACTTGAAACCCAGAGAACGTAAGCAACGAGGCAGTAAAGCTTATATAACAATATTGGGAGCAAAGCTCACCTATTGCATCACGTGCAGATCTGGACACCTCAAATCAGCATACTTGCAGGAAAGGTGGTTGGTCATAACAGTGATGGTCATAGCCTAAGCAGGTCAAAACAAAACCAAAAGCCACAATGCACTTGTGGGATTTGTTCATCTACTCGTTCAAGGTGTGGCAGTTTTGAACCACAACCATTTGGGTTTCTATTTTGATAGGGAGTTGTCCAACTGACCCAAGCTGCTTCCGCCTCGACTTCTTCGGCCAACTCCTCACCCGATGCTGACAGGGGGTTCTCAGCCTGAGGAATGCGCGTCCTTCTCGGACAGAAAAAGTCAGCTAAAGCTACAGCCGAGCAGCTCCATTCCCAAGGATGAGAGTGTTTCTCCCCCACCGTTTTTTGGGTAAAATACCAGATCTTAATACTCTCCCCAACAAAATCACCCCATACGTTTCGTCGGTGTCCGGTGGTGGTCTGTCGGTCTGTCGAAGCAGGGGCCAAAGCTCCTTGTTGTTAGGCCGGCGCGTTTCAGCCCTTGACACTAAGGGCGCACATAGCTATGGGTGCAAGGAGTTGAGTAACAGTGAGTCGACCGCACAAACTGCTCCAATCTTCAGAAGTGTATTTAAATCACACAGTCCGGTGTTTTTAATGGAGGGCAGTCCTGCATGCATGACATAGGGGAACTCCTGACCTGCTGTCCGATTTGGGTGGATCAGCCTTGATCAAAGTGAAGATGTCACGACAAGCTTTGGCGCGCCCACTGGAGCTGAAGCAACTTGGACAGCTGACAAGCTGCTGTGGGCACTGAGAGCAATACGGGAGGTGCATCAGACATATCATCGTCACATGGCAAGTCCTGCCGGACAGAGACAGCCAAGTTTCCCGCAACTTGGGGCTCCATATATCTGTGGCTCAAAATCTGAGGCTTGGCTCATAAGGTATCTGAGGCCTGGCTCATAGGCTCCATGCTGGTGGTGGGGAAACAAAGCACATGTAGACACTCCCAGCACCGCAACGCTGCGGCTAGAAGAGGCGTTGTTAGGAAGTCTTGAAAATTGATCCAATTGACCTATATAACCCGCTTCTGCCTCCGCTTCTTCTGCCAAGGGCTGCTCGCTCAAGGCTGACAAGGGGTGCTCGTTCTCAGCCTGAAGCACGGCGGCACTTCCTTCTAGGCAAGAAGGCTGCACTAAACCCTACTAGCGCATGGGATAAGTCACCCGGGCGTGCGTAAAGTCACCCAGCCGCATGGAAACGCAGCATTAGAGAGAAGTCAGCCCGGCTTTCGAACAGTCACCAGTTTTATGTTGCAACACCATGGAAACGCTTCATGGAAGTATGAAGTATGTCTTCAAAAAACTGTAGTATATCTGCGCACGAAGACAAGGTTTATGTCGAAGTTTGTAGCTTGCGCGGACCGAAACCCAAGGAGAACGCCAGTTTGGTGTCATGAGTGATCATTACATTCCTACAGGCATAGACACAGCACTGGATCCATGCCGGCTTGACATCGCTTTTGGGACAACGAACGAGACAAACGAACGTCTTTCTTCGGTCGGGAACCATGGCACAGTGCCAGCGCCGCTATGGTGCAGTCCCGCTCGGTACTACCCAGAACTCCTGGCTTCTGAACATGGTATGAGGAGTTCTGTTCTTGCTTCTCCAACTAAACCTGTTCCTGATGCAATCAAGCAAATTGTGTCGAACTGATACTCCAGAGCTTATCTTCCAGTTTTTTGCAATCTTGCGTCTAACCCGCATGGAAACGCAGCATCCATAGGACTTTTACACCAGACCAGACGACGCAGACACCAGACGACGCAGCACATCCCTTGTCCGTTCCATTGAGGTAAACAGCAGTGAGATCTGCCGCACGCAGCGTGTGCAGTGTTTTCCAGCCAGCACACGCTTGACTGCAAGCAGCCAGCACACGCTTCCAGGGTGGGTGGGTGCTTCCAAGCTTCAGTTGACCAAAGTTTAAACCCGCCAACACCAGCTGCAACCTCTTTGCAGTCACGCTTCTGTCCCGACGAGTTGGACATCTCAATACGATCCGTAGCACTATCCGTGCGCCCGCCCCATTGCACCACCCACCACCAAACGGGGTGATCTTGCGCATAGCTGAGTCGATCATAGCTGAGTCGATCATGTTGTGGGCGGGCTTTGTGTCCCAAAAATGGTCATCGTTTTATCCAAAAACCATGCCTCTTGTCGGACGAAAGTGGAGCTGCGGAAACCCTAGATTTGGGTTCCAAGAATTCTGCACCAAAATGTCTGCATGCATCATACATCCCAGATTTGACGAAGACCCACATCGGGTGTGTCTCCGTTCCACATCTTCCTTGGGCTCGACCCTTGTGGTAGAAGTACGAAAAAATGGCTCGCACGCCCAAGACGAGCACTAAGACGCCCAAGACGCGAAAGACGCAGAGTCAGACGCGAAAGATTTGTCAAGTAACACCTGTTGGACCAGTCGAACGGGTGATGACAACGTCCTAATGGAAAAAGATAGAAAACGAGTGAGCTGGGAGACTTCCGAGTGAGAACTTGTCCCCAAACCTTCCATACCAGGACAAGGACATGTCAGCCAGGAGAGTCGTTTGATGAGAGTTCAATTATGGCAGATTAGATACATGAAGAGCATGAAGGAAAAGCATGGAAAAGCAGGGAAATGTCCAATATGTCTTTCTTTCTTCACAATCTTCACAGCGACTTGGAAAAGCTTTTCGGCAACTAAGAGCGACACAGGAGGGGCATCGGACATGTCGTCATCACATGGCAATGCCTGTGCGAGTCCCCAGAAAGAGCACCCTTTGCTCAATCTGAAGACACATGCTGAATATGTCCATGAAAAGCACACAAATCAACTCAAAAGCTCCAATGGACTTTTCTACGCACCCGATTCCATGTCAACCCGATTCCAACTCATCCGCCTCCTCTTCCGGCTGCTCCTTTTCATCCTCGATATCCAGAGCCTCCCGACCACACAAGGTGCACAAGAACATTCGGACCAACTCGGCTTGGCTCCGGTTGACAAAGCAGACGGGCTGGCAGCTGACAAACTCGCCTGGTTGGACCAACTCGGAAAGCGCAAGAACATGTCTGGAAGAAGGGAAATAATAGATGAAAACCCCTTGGGCCTCCCCTATTCTGATACGCACGACCATCCTGTCCCCCCTGTCAACTCTCTATGGCTTTTTCCTTGTGCTTGCAGAGCTGGGAACTTCACACTCTCTATGCTTGGCGCACGACCAGTCTGGCGCAGACCGGGGATGCCGTTCCGACACATCTGAAATCTAAATCACACGTTCCAACCACACGACAGGACAAGGGATCGCACGATCCACACACACGACAGGACAAAAGCCATCGACCATACAAGTGACACATCGAAGAAGCCGACCACGTGGACTCCGCGACGAGCGAGCAAACCCTTTGCCCGTTCGGCCACAACCCGTGAAAGACCCACGTGAGTGGGCTCACCGCATCTCACAGCGCATGGTGACCTTTCCCAAGGACTTTACGACATATGAACTTCCATTCACTTTCTGACTGTGAGACTGGTCTCGACTCGACAGGCCAAAGCCCAACAATTCCCATCGTCGTTCCACTCCAGCCTTAACACCCCTCATGTGGTCCCAACCAAGGAGAAAGGCACTTCTTCGTGGCCCCCGGTGTGCCCAACCGCTTTGGAATGGGTATATGACATGTAGATTCCCATGTTCCACTCCAGTGCCGCTCGAGAGTCATCGACCGACATACCACCCTGACCTTCATTCGACACGAACCTGCCAACCCCGACGGACGTCGACTGGCAACGTCGTCAATCGCACAGGCAGCCCTTCGCTTCGCCTCATCTGGCACAGCCTTTGGAGCAACCTCTGGCTGGCTGTCAGCCTGAACATCTTCAACTCCAATGGACGGTAACACAATCAATGCAATGAAGGAATCACCAAACATATCCAAACATATGACCTCCTGTGAATTTGCGTGATTCTGTGTGAGCTTCCGTGATTCTGAGTCTGGCGAAAGCTCAGCTACCTACTTCCTCAACATCAGACATGTCCTCCTGAAGCACCTGCAACGGTGCAACAAGAGCGTGAAATGAAAGTCAGGCTCCCAATCTGTGCTCTCAGGCAGCAAAAACACTGATTACATCTATGTGTATGTCACACAGCGTCACAACACCAATGCGAAATATATACCATCCACTCTCCTGCACTCTTTGATTCAGAACCTTTTTACATCTTTAAAGAGGCTTTGGCAAAAGAACACTCGCAAAGCGGAGGCGAGAACAGTTCTGCATTTTTGCCGGACTCGAATAGCTGCCGGTCAAAACAGGAGCCTAGTTCACCTCCCAAAATGAACAAAGTAAGTAGACTACGGACAACAAGGCATGTCAACTAACCTACTATTTGATTTGTTCTTGGTGTGTTTGGTATTGCTTTCGTGCCTTCTCAACCACTCCCTCATCTGGCGCGTCAGCCTTTTCAGCATCTTGCTCTGGAGCCTCCTGGAACTGCAAAGTGGAAGGGAGACTTGTGACTTGCTTGTTGATTTCGCAGCTGCCAGGGCATCCCCTGAATTGTTTTAGACATGTAGCAGATCAAAGAGAAAAGAAACAGGCAAATCTGCCACTGTTTGGCTTCATGCTGATCAGCGCTTTATTGTGAGTATAGTCAGTTTCGAAAGGCACGTCTGCAAACTAATGGACTCTGAAAATTCATTCGTGGAACGCCATTTTCTACAACCCAGTGATTTTGCCGGTCCAATCTGCAGGAGGATAGGTATAACCATCCTGGAGTACATAGAATATGGTTTTTTTCAATCTCGCGGCTGAAAAAAAAAAAAGTACTTGGAATATATGGGTCCAAACATGGTACTTAGAATATTTTGTTGTTTCTATTTTCTCGTGGACAGCTGAGGTCGAATTTAGATGTGTTTAAAATTATGTTTTAGAAGTTCCTTTCCTAAGTTCCTGCTGAATGTCCTTTTAAACTTTACTTTTTTTTTCATAGTTTTAGAAGTATATATTAAATTTCCTTTCACATGTTCTTTCAAACTTACTCTCCTTTTGGTGTCCTTTTTCATTTCCTTAGATTTTTTTTACATTCCATTTACATTCCATATAGTTTTAACGTTCCTTTGACATTCCAGCTTAATGAAGTTGACACCAGACAAGCTTGGCTTTAACTTATCTTCCAGACAATATTCTAACTGTTTTCCACAAGAGGTAAAACAATCTCTTATTGCACCGGTGGGATTAGGGAATATTCTAAGTACTTGCAGCTCATTGTACATAATATATATATATATATTGTCTACTCCAGGATGGCTTAAACATGCTTTACTGCAGTCCAGAGCGATTGCAAATACAGTCTTTGCCTTTTTTCTTCCCAAATGATGTCCCGGTGAAACTGTTTACGCCGGCTTGTTGTGCCCTGGGCCTCTTCACACACACACACAAGAGGTTTCCAGAAACGAGAGTCTATGTTGCACAGCCGCTATTGGCATGTAACCAACGTTCTTGCATATGTTCCCGCTTGTATGTTGCATAGCCAAGATCCCAAGAGCACCTGTACTTCCAGCTTGCGCATCTCACGCTCATGCAATGAGTGAATTCATGGACAAACGTATGTAGCACCGCCCTGCGAACATATACATAGAATATGCTCGGGGTCTTTCTGAAAGAGCTCAACATGTAGAACATTTTAAATACTAACCCAAAGAAAATCGACTACTCGAAACTATTCTATATATCTACTGTATGATGGTTAAAGAATGCTGTAGTGAGTGCAGTCCAGAGCAGTTGCAAACAATGTCCCGTTGAAACTGCTCATGCTGGTTTGCCGCGCCATGGGTCTCTTCACACAAGGTTTCCACAAATGAGAGTTTATGTGCACAAAACTAACACTCTTGCACATACGCGTGCATGTTGTAAAACCAAGATCCAAAAAGCACCTGTACATCCAGCTGGCGCAGCTCGCGTTCATGCAATGAATGAATTCATGGACAAAGGTACTTAGCACCGCCCTGCAAACATATACATAGAATATGCTGGGAAGCTTTCTGAGAAAAACAAGAACACGTGGAAGACAATTCCCAATGCAGAACTGCTGTATCTGGAAGAAGTGTAGATGCAGTTTTGTTGCTTGTGGCAAACGGTGCCTTCACCCCATGCCTCTAAGCAGGTTTTGAGGCTTTGAGAGTTGCAACTCGTGAACCACGCTGTAAAATGCTAGGTGTTGTTTGATTATTGATGCCACGAAGCCAAACCAGATCTTAATCAACAACATACATATATTGATCCCGTTTGTTGCGGTGTTTTCTACCCATTTAGCCATCTAGCTGCTTGCCCCAATGACATGGCTCTTATAATGACAGATGCATTCCCAAAAGGTTCACTCAGGCTCCGCTTCATGACAACTCCCCATGGCATACGCCACGTTTGGACAATCAGCGCTGGTTGCCTCAGCTGGCTCTGTCCAATCTGCGAATTCATCCTCATTGTCGGAGAGATCAGGCCCCCCTTCATCTTCCGCGGGATCAGGGGTCAAATCATCTGTGGCAGCTCCAGTGAGGTGTTGGAAGTCTGCTGGCAAGTCGCTAGATGCAGGTGCCTGAAGGACGTGTCTGCAAGGAAAGCTGACAGAACTTTAAAGCCCACATGTTATAAACTGATTCCTGCAAATATTCTATGTACTCCATACCCCAAAGCCACACCATTCCAGCCTCCACCACATCAAACTGCCGGACAAACAGGTGGCACTGCGGCCCTGCGCCAATCCTCAAAGACAAATGGGCAGGATCCAGCGCCATCTTGATTTCAACGACAATGCAGTCCTTTAAGGTTGTGGTGCTGGCTGAGACTGTCTTGTGAACTTGGATCTTGTGCTTGACATCATAGACCAGCTTCCTGAAAGGATTTGCTAAAAAGGCCTCGTAGGACTTGGCCGATGAAGGTGTCAGTGCCCGGCCAAGGGATGCTCTCTTGGCAATGGCTGCATCCCACCGCTTGCGCTCCAGCATCCATTTGGCCATCACACACTCAATTCCGGTGTTCCAGTACCGTGGCAACTGCAAGGGCTCCGGCGCTTCTGCCTTGATGAACCAAGCGTGGATCTTCTCTCCCTGCAAGGGGATCTGAGCCTTTTCCCAGGCCAGCTGATAGGCACCTGATGCATGGTGAATGGAGTACATGGAATACAACAAGTCACCACAAACACAAACTCTTCTCCCTGAAAAAAAGGCAGTGCTGGGACTCTTACTCCTTGCATATCATCCTTGAATAACACTGTAAATATACAACATACATAATATATATAATCTATATATATATTTACATACACATATAATTGTACTATATAATTATATATATATATATATGGAACGTAGTAGAGTGTCCTCAGTCAAATTCTATGTACTGTATTGTCTATTGCATTCTAAAGGTGTTGCTACAATCTTGCGAGTGGCTTTTGTCCAAAACCGGTGTCTCGGACATTCGAAGAACATCCCTGTAGCCATCGCGAAGTCCTTTCATGTGGTCCCTCAGCTTCTCAACATCAGACTCAAAGTGCCAGTCAGCGGCTTCCTGTTCTCCAAGATAGCCTCTTGACATCCAGGCCCACAGAATTGTTTTCCCTGCTTTGAAGGTGCCAATGGTTGTAAGGGCAAATGCATCAGCGGCAAAGCTGAGTTCGATTGGACAGCTTATCGATGGCAAAGATCCTCCGGGGGCGACTTCTGACTCGCTGAGCTCCTTCCGATGAAGGGGATTGAGGGGCATACGGAGGGCTGCTCGCATGAACGTCGCTCTCAACATGTGAAAATGTCCGTGCCAGGCATCATTTGGCTGGGACGATAGGCCCCAACCTCCAGGGATCTGAACATCAGCTTCAGGATCCATTCCGAGGATAAAGACATTGTTCTCATGGGCCCATCGCTTTCTCAACTCTGTAAAGGTGCGACACAAATGGGAAGTGCACCTGTCGCAAATGACCGTTGCTTTGCTGGAGCTGTCCAGGTTGTACTTCTGGCGCTGCTTGCGCAACTCAATGGTCAATTGCTCCAGGAATCTCAACGCGGTTGCACCCGTCCACATGTGACCATCTGTCCCAGAGCTTTGGAGCACAAGGATACCTTTGTACTTCTCATTGATGTCGTGGATCTGAGAAGAGGAAAGTGAACCTTCAGGCATTGTGACATAGGCAAAGCCCACCTCACCTGTTCGCCAGCTTACAGATGTGGTAGTCCGCGGGCTCCTGAAATTCCCCAAGGACAGACAAGGAGACATATTCTATGTACCCGGTTCCCCCAGCAGAATCTTTAAGCTCTATCACACCCAAAGGACTGGAAACCCAGCCCACCCTCATTTCTTGTCCAACCCACCGCTATATATAACTTCCCAGCTGGGATGGAAAGACTTCAGCAGAATACAAAAAATACACTGCGGGTTCCTCCAATGGTTGATGGTGTTGGCCTGTCCAGTACCAGCAATATCAGCTCGCTTGACGGACCAAGCCTTCTCCTTCTCATGCTTTGGCTGCTGGATGACCTGGCCGAAGTGCTTCTGCATCTCTGCACGAATGGATTGCCTGGATGGGTAAGAGGCCAAGTCATCCTTAGGCCCTGAAGATTCCCCCTTCCACAGCACTCGTCGCATAGGCTCATAGAGGCATGTCCAGATCTGGTCGAAGTTCATAACCAACTTTGGGTGAACGCTACCTGTCGTGATCTGCAGATTGATAAAGTCGGTGACGTGTTGCACTTGAGGATGGTCACGTGGTAAATGGCGCATTGGCTTATCTTGCCGGAACATGCTGAAACCATATCTGGCTGCAAAAGACAACGCCAACTGATTCAGAGCTCTCGGGGTGGAGCCAAACTTGATGATCGAAGGCCAACTGCTCTTCAATGCGGCCTGCTTTTCCACAAGATCTTGGACCTCCCGCTCTGTGGCTTCAGCAGCAATGAGTTTGTTGACAGCTTCCAAGTCTGCCTCCTGCCGCAGGGCTCGCCAGGACTCCACTTCCTCGTTGTACAAAGAAATCGCATCGCTCAGCACACTCTCAATGGAAGCAACTGTCAGCTCCGTCCCATCGTTGATGGCCTCTTTCAAGATCTGATCCACCACATTGTACACATCTGCTGTGATCTTGGAATGTGATGGACCTTTGGATGATGAAACGTCAAGGTGATCTCTAAGCCAATTTGGAAGTTCATCGTACTTCTCTGCGAGCTTTGGGCACTTCTCCATCACTAAGTCCCACTTGTACAACACGCGGGACTTCTGCCACTTGCCGGCAGCTCCCTGATAGTACCCTGGTAGCTTTCGTGCAATAAGCTCCTCCAGGCGGAATATGTTGAACGATATTCTAAGTACTGGGAACTGAACCAGGATCTGGGATTACCAAGCAGAGAAACAGCATTTCAAAGTATATATGATCAACCAGTATTCTGTATGGATTGTGTATATATATATAGCTTATATAATATTATATATATACACTGAAT